TAAAACTTCTCACATTGTTTTCAAATAAAAATGTAACGCTCCATCCCGTAAATCCCGAACAATGGTTTAGCGAATTAGGTTGTCACCAAATTGTTATCCATAATCCGAATAGTTTAAAAAACTTAAATCAAACATTTGAGTAAAAGTCCAATCTCTCAAACACATCTTATCAGTGTAGTAAATTAAAACAATGCGAAAACCTTTAAAACAATATTCAAAAAGATTATTCCAATTTGAGTAAATAAGTTTAAAAGAAATAAATTATTAAATTAATAGTCATAGGGCGCAAGCCATCCATATCGCCAAGCATCACTGGCCATTGGACTGCTCATTCAATCCTTGGTTTCTACCTACGTGTAGTCAAAGACAACAATGACTATACGATAAGCTGAACGATGAGTGTGAATATATCTAATGTCAAAATTAATTCTGAGAGTAGCACCACATTCACGTGCATGCATACAATATTATGCAAACATATCACATCATTCAACATCATGATTAATAGCATAATCATCTATCCTTAATCTTAAAATAAAAAGACTAAGACTAAATCAATCAACTAGAGTCATGGGCACTCAATGGAATACCAAGAGGCCATGCTCAAATCCAATGGAAGTCTCTAAAAGCTAGGTTGAAGCCCATGCCAAGGGAGCATCAATGTAGGTCTTGGACTTCCGCACGTACGTTTTTAGCCATAAGTAATTGAGTATGCACACACGTCTCACATGGCATGATTCCTAACAACTCTTATTGGCGATTCAGTTCTCAACTCCATTTATATTCCACTAGTCTAAGTAGAACGAGAAAAATCATCTACAATGACAAAAGTGAAACTAACTCCCCCTAGGGTTTGTACATCTACGTGCCCAAACAAATCCATATACAAAATTTCAAGTTGCCTAGTAGTTAAAACCATTTTATGGTTTTAAAAGATATTTTATGTTATTTTCCAAGAGAACATGCATCAAAAAAATGGGAAGGGGGTATGTTCATCCTGGGCAAACCAACAACTAGGTCATTTGAAATAAGTTTTCTTAAAAGATCATAACTAGCATGTTCTAACCTACGATGTCATAAAGTAGAAAATTCTAGAGAAGTGGCAAGACAAGTGATTTTTGAGTTGCTTAAATCCTTGGAATTGAACTTATACAAGTTCCTATCTCTTTTAGCCTCAAAACTGATTTCATCTTTGTTTTGGCCATATAAAACAAAAGAATTTACATTAAACTTAATTTTGTTGCCATTGTTACAAAGTTGGCTTATGCTTATTAAATGGAACTTTAGGCCATCAGCAAGATAAACATCATTTATTGTAAAATCACTTGAGATACCAATCGTACCTTTACCAATGACCTTTTTCTTTGACTTGTCTCCAAGAGTCACATGTCCATGGCTTTTCTCATTGAGGTTGGTGAACCACGTTTTCATCTCGGTCATGTGTCTTGAGCACCCACTATCTATTATCCAAGTAGTGTTCTTCACCTAGTTAAAGAGGAATCAACTTTTTGATCTAGGTTTCGGATTCCAATCCACAAAGACTTTATGTCGATGGACGGGTTTTATCTTGGTCAGATTCAGAAGTGGTATGTACATCTTCCGTTTTTCATCATAATAAAAGAAATAATATCCACCATTATTTCCTTTACCTTATGTTTGGTTCAAGGAATTTGAAAGGGAAAAGAAAAGAAAATAAAGCGGAAAATTGATTTTCATGTTTGGTTAGAGAGGAAAAGAAAGAAAAAGTGGAAGAAAAAGAAATTAAGAAGGAAAAATGTATTAAAAGATGAGAAAACCAAATTCCTTTCATTTTAGCGAGGAAAGTGTGAGAAAATCATTTTCTTTTCTTTTCCTTCCAAAATTCTTGAACCAAACACAGTGTTAATTTCCTGCAAATGGGTTTGTTTCTTATATCCAACTGTCTTGGATTCCGATCAGTTATAACCTTTCTTAATCCATTTTAACTTTTTCATTTAAACCAATTTCTTGTTTGGACATTTTGTCACAATATGTTTGGTTTTCATACAATAAAGACAAACCTTTACTTTTAATTTAGAAGTTAAGGCTTGGTTTGATAAAGGGGTTTTAGTTTTGTTCTTGAATACACTCATCAAGTTGTTGGGTCACCAAAAACCAATTCCTTCTTTTGAAAGTTTTTGATTTTGATTGTCCCACAACTTCATGAAGTTATAGCTATTATAAAACACTTCTAAGGATCCTTTCCTAGTCTTATCATTTTCAATTATTAGAGTTTCAATTCGTTTTTGAAATTTTTTGTTTTAACCTTGAAGATTTTCGAGATCGGTTTTGAAAGTTTTGTTATCCTCTTGAGATGCTTCAACGGCTGCCTTAAGTTCCTTTTTCTCCCTTATTATTTGAAAAAGGTCCTCTTAGCATTCATCAAAGGCTTGACTCAAATCTTCAAAAGTAAATTGATTATCAAAAGAAGTAAAAGAGTTTTGAGAGCTAACCTATTCTTCTTCTTCATTTGAAGCCATGAAACAAGAATTATCAATTTCTTCATTGCTTTGCTCATTATCGCTTGTATCCTAGTTGATATCCTCCCATGTGACCTTTAGAGCTTTCTTCTTCCCCTTCTTCAGTTCGTCCTTCTTTTTAAGCTTCGGACATTCAGGCTTGATATGTCCTACATTTCCACATTCATAACAAGTTATTTGATAACTCTTACCTTTCATGAAAGTACATTTCTTGGAGGAGTCGCCTTTGTTCCATTTCATGAACTTCTTGTATCTCTTGAACATGGCTATTTCCTCATCACTTTCACTCTCGCCATCTGATTGATCATCAATCTTGAGCTCCATTGTCTTCTTCACTATGGGGGCATATTCTTCTTTCTCCATTTTCCTTAAAAGTAGATCATGAGAATATAGGCTACTCCAAATGGAAGAAGTTTCAACATCTGCACATTTGGGTAGCAAGTTTACAACTAAACTATGTCACTCTCTAGGTAATGAAAATATAATTTTTGTATTAATCTAACTCTTGGGAAATATTTTGTTTAGCTTACTCAAGTTGTTGATTATGAGGTTGAACCTTTTATTCATATCTTGAACAAATTCTCTAGCCTTCATCTTGAAATTTTCATATTCGGACATCCCTAGAGCTAACTTGGTAGCTTTGGTGTCCTTGTCACCTTTGTGTGTTGCCTCGAGAAGCTCCCAGGCTTCCTTAGCGGATTTACAAGAGCTCACTCTTGCAAAATAATACTGACCCAAGGCACAAAACAAAATATTTAATGCTTTGGCGTTCAAGGAGAGTTTCTTCTTGTCATCTGGTGTGAGCTTATTCATAAGAGTGGGTACCTGGACATCATTTACAATGGCCATATGTACAAAAGGGCGGTTAGTGGTTACAATCCATAAATCAAAATCATTGGATTGATTAAAGTTCTGCATTCGCATTTTCCAATAGTCATAGTTGTCTCCATTCAAAAATGGTGGCTTAGGACCGGAGTAGGTACCGTCACGGTACCTTAGGACCGGAGTAGGTACCGTCACGGTACTTTAGGACCGGAGTAGGTACCGGATGGTGCGGGTTCCTAAGTTCTCCATCGCTGTTTGGCATGATTTTGGAATTCGGTTGGGCTATAGGTCCGCTTACCCATTGATGGGTAACTCTTCCCATCGCTGGGTGGATAGTTAGTCAAAAACCCATGGTTTTTGCCTGAACCATGGCCTAGCCAACTCATGCTAAAACCGACCGAAAAATGCAAAGTTCTCCAAAATAAAAACCAAGTGTTTAAAACACTTATTTAATGTATTTGGCTAAGAAAACAAGTGAGACACTTTAAAAACAACGTCATTTGAGTAAAAACCATGGCTAGCCAAGTTTATGCCGTTTCGCATGGTTTTTGCCAAACGACCAAAAATGAAAGGCGGTTTTTAAAGTGTTTTTATTGGAAAACTATTTAAATGTGCCCACGAGTAATAACCAATCATAAAATTATGAAAACCACTTGGTTGGTTCAGACGCGAAAAACCAACGTCGATAACCGAATGCCGAATGCTGGTTTTTGAAAGCTGAACGCCGGATGTCTTGGTTTTTGGTTTGGGCGAACACCAAGTGTTTTTAATGTGTTAAACATGTTTGAAATTTTTTTTATGATATGTAAAATGCAATAAAAATGTTTTAGGCTAAAGAGCCAAGGTGTGAGGTTTGGGTCGGTCTTGATCATATTTGTGACCGACTCAACGACACTAAAACTACGATCTTCGTTCTTGATCTCTTTTAGCTTTTGTTCTTATCTTCATTTCTTGCTTTGTATGTTCAACACTTTGTCTTGATCACGACGGTTTGGCATTATCAAAACCTGTCATGAAAACGAACACGTCTTTAGTACGAAAACATGATAAACCCGTGTTTCAACAGTTTCCCCCTTTTTGATAATGGCAAACAAGACGGGGTTATGCATATGAGGATTGTTTTGAGATTTTAAAAAAGTTAAAAAAGTGTTCCCCCTTAATAAATGCAATTTTATTTTCAACAAGGTTTATGTTTTTATATTTTAAACGATTTTATGCCTTAGAAAATTTCCCCCTCAATCTATGCATAACCTCTTTATATCTTTCCCCTTTTGACATTAACAAAAAGAATTAAAAGCGAACTTTTATTCATTTAAAGAAGGGAAATGCGGAATACAAAGGATAAAAAATGAAAAATACAATCATATTAAAAGGATAATTTAGAAGAAGTCTAGGAGTCGGCGTCCTCGTCGTCGTTGTCATCCTCGTCATCCTCGACGTCCATTGGATCGCCGTCGACCGCATCTTCAAAGTCTTCCTCGTCGAGAGAGGAGGACGGAGCATATGAGTCGTCGTCTTCATCCCCACCTTCGAAGTTTTGGCCGAGGAGCGTGCTGTCAAAAGGCGGCGGGACGTAGTTGACACCACGGAAGAACGCCATCATGTCATGGTTTGGCGCTGCAACGTCCAGTCCATCCGCTCGATTGACTTCCCCATGCCGTCCACCATGAGGGTTAGCCGATTCAGGGTGTCGGCTATGGATTGCAAGGAGGCCCTGGCGGGAGCGGGGGCTGGGGCACGACTCGGTCTGGCACCGTCTCAGTTTCCGGACTTCTTCCGGAAGGTGCTGTCGGCGATGACCTAAAGCTTCGTCATCTTGGTGCTCAGTCCGGCAATATGGATGTCGGAGGACACGATGAGATCCGTGACGAGGAAGGCGTATGGCAAGCTTCGCTCGGTGGTGAGGGAGGTGCAATCCGCCATGTGAATCATGACGAACTTTGCCCAATTGATGGAGGCACCGTGGATGATTGCATGGATTGCCTTCACGTCCTTGTTGAAGAGCGAGGTGTGCCTGTTGTCCCGGGGGCGGAGAATCCGGGTGAGGATGTAGAGAAGAAGGCGCTTCTCCGGCGGAGCCGAGTGGATCGTCGGAGCGCCGCTACGGCGGATGAGGTTGGTGATCCCAAGCTGTTGAATGACGACCGCCTTGTTGTTGACGATCCAATCTTTGCCTCCGTACGTAGTGATGTCGTCGCCTCGTATAGGCAACCCCGCAATCCGAGCAAAGGTAGCCAAATCAATCTCTATGTCGTAGAGATTGATGCTACTGTAGATTATGTCACCCTCGCGGCGGAGATTTGTGTAGAACGCCCGGACGAAAGCGTGATTGTAGGTCGTGCGGCTCTTGGAGACGAAGGGCCACAAACCCGACGCTTGAAGTTGGTTATCGAGCTCGTGATACCTGACTAACTGCGTATAGCGGTAAGTCAACAAATAACCGAGTTAGACTCGGGTCGTTCTCTCCGTGAGTGATGAAGGGAATAGTTAATTTTATTATTTATCACAGGCTAATTTTTAGTCTAATAGTCTACTAAAAGAGAAGAGAAATTAAGAGTTTAAAGCAACTAAAATAATTAATCAAACAATTTCAGGAGTTAGGATTGGAACTCAGACTCAACACAATTTAACCCATCTTTTAATTGGCAATTAGATTAATGAAACGTGTAGCACTTATGTGTCCAATATATCTCCTATTTCTAGGTCTCAATATAAAACACAAAATGCTAATCTTATATTTAATACATCTCCTAATTTTAGGTCTCAATATTAATTATAAGATTATTATATTTCCAGTACATCTCCTATTTCTAGGTCTTAGTACGGTGGTAGAAAATGTTTGGCTTAAATAATTCTAAATCCTTATAGACAAGGCAAGAACTATTTTCCAATTACTTAATTAATAAAATGTTTAGTATTATTAATTAGTTTAAACCATTCTAGATGGTTATTTCTAACTCTGCCTAATTCAAGGTGTTCGGAACGTGTGGCTTAATTAATCTTATTACCTCATAGACAAGATAAAAGATTAATTTCCAATGATTAATTAATAATAAAAACAATTTTATTAATTAATAGAATTTAATTCATTTTCTAAAAATTAATCCAATTACTAATAAATAGATGAAATTAAATTGGTTAAATCTTTATTCCAAATCCTAACCCATATATAATTACCAATTCATAATTTCAAACAAAACATCCAACATCATCATAATAACATATAAAATTCTCAAAGATATATCAATCATCACAAAGTGATATTTTATTGATGAAAATTTAAATAAAGATTATAATAAAAAGAAAAGAAAAACTTACAGTGCTTCAAGAACCTGAGAATTAACTTTGGATGATGAAATTTAACCAACATAATTTTAGTACAATATTTAAGAGTAAAAAGGGGGATTTTCGCCCCTAAAAATGGAAAAAACGAATGGAAATCGGGATGGGAAAACCTAAGAGTTTGCCGGAATTTATAGGGGGAGGACTAGGGGTGTTCATGTTTTGGTCTCGACCGAAAAAACCGATCGAACCGGACCGTTCGGTCCAGACCGAACCCGGACCGAATGGATTTCGGGTCAGTCTTCGGTCCAAAAAAATTAGGAATTCGGGTTTCGGTCCGGTCCGGACCGATTGGACCGGATGGACCTAATAACCCTATTGGACCTAAAAGACCTAAATACGTAAACTCTACTTTTTAAGTTCTGTAATACACTTTGACACTTTATTTGAATAAATATTTTAATTTATTTAATTTAAAATATTTTTGTTAAGATTTTTTTTTTAAAAAAAGTTCCGCATTAGTTTTTATTATTCTACATAGAAGTAGTTCATGTTGTGTATCTATTTTTAGGTTGTCTATTTTTTTTCCTATTTGTACGCTACAAAATAAAAAGACTAAAATATTGTTTTTGAAAGACAAACAATCAAAACCTAAAATATATTTAAATGATCAAAATAATTAAAAAATATATTTTTTTATTTGGTCCAATCGGTCCGGACCGGTTCGGTCCTAAGTATTTCAGTCCGGTCCGGTCCAAACCCGAATAGATTTAGGTCCGGTCTTTGGTCCGTGGTTTTAACCAATTCGGTCTTCGGTCCGGTCCGGGTCGGTCCGGGTCGGTCCGGTTCGGTCTGGTCTTGGACCGATGAACACCCCTAGGGAGGACCATCGACCGTCGGGCAAACCGGCCGCCGCCGCTGAAGAAATCTCCAGAAATAGCCAAAATCCCTAGTTGCCGTCGACAGGCGGGCAGGTAGGCTGCAACCTGCCAGCCCTCCGTCGCTCCTCCAGCTCGCCGGATCTGCTCCTCGCCACCGCCGCCTGCCAGGCCGCCTACTGTGCCGCTCCGGTCCGTCGATGCTATCCTACTTAAAATTTCGTTTCGAACACTTTTTCCTTGTGCACCGACTTCTAATTCTGCACCGTTTGTGAGATAGAATTATTTTTTTATTAAAAATTTACTCTTTTTTCTCCCTTTTTGGCCTTAATTTTACATATTAGTTTAAAGACATTCTTTTTATGATCAATTTGTCAAAACATATATTTTTGATGAAAAAGAACAAAGAATTTATTATTTTGATAACAAAAATGGTACAAGAACAAAACAAATATGAGTAAAAAGATAAGTACGAAACGGACTTATCAATACCCCTTTTGTTGGGGGTACAACTCGGGCAGCACCCTGGGCGGAGAGATGGGACGTTTGGCGAAGTGCGTGAGAAAACGGGTGAGTTCTTCCTCCGAGCCAAACTCCAAGAAGGATCCGTCGAGATAGGGGAAAGGTTGAGGCGCTGAGGTTGTGGCTTCGATGTTGCCTTTCTTCTAAGAAGCCTTTGTCTTCTTTCCTCCGGCCATGGTTGAGGTGTTTTTGAAGAAAAAGTGAAGAGAGAAGTAGGAGAGGTTAAAGGAATGCAATTTGGGATGTGAATTGTGTATTAAAATGGCCAAGGATGATGCAAATATATATGGAGAGGGATTTGAGCCGTTTGAATTCAAAAAATATGGCTGTTGGGCATTAAATGGTGTGCCCAATGACTATTATTTTTTGAACTGTAACAGCCTTCTCAACGATGGTAGGATTACCCATCGATGGGAAGGTAGCCACTAGAAAGAGAGGAAGAAGTCAAGGCTGCCTTCCAGCGATGTTAAGGTTCTCCCATCGATGGGAAGACGACTACTGGAAAGTGAAGAAAGAATGAGGGTGCCCTTCTCAGCGATGTTAATACCATCCCATTGCTGGGTAGGGGAGTTTTGGATATCCGTTAAAAAATTTTAAAAAATTAGTGTCAAACACCTAGCGATGCGAGGATTTTCCCATCGATGGGTAAGCAGGTTCTGGGAATGTTTGTTTAAACAAATGTCAAACACCCAGCGATGGGAGAAAGTTCACATCGATGGGTATTGAGGTACTAGAAATCCGTTAAACATTTTAAAAAAAAGAAGAGTCAATCACCCAGTGATGGGAGGAAGTTCCCATCGATGGGTAGAGGGCTGTTGGATGAAAGATACTTCCGTCCCAGCGATGGTATAAACCACCCATAGCTGGTTCCCCCTGACTTCCTGATTCCCTCACTTCGAAACATTCCTGCAAAAAAAGAGTTAGAAAACCCTCTGACACTCAAGTTAGTAAACGTTTAACAAAATAAAATGCACAACTTAGATCATCGTGGAGTCAAGGATTCCGAGTTCACTTCAAATGCGGAAGAACGACTCTTTCTCTAAAGGTTTTGTGAAAATGTCGGCTAATTGGTTGTGTGTTTCAACAAACTCAATTTCGACATCACCTTTGAGAACATGATCTCTAATGAAATGATGCCTAATGTCAATGTGTTTCGTCCTTGAGTGAAGAACGAGGTTCTTCGTCAAGCATATTATGGCGCTAATATTATCACAACGAAGTGAAACGTGATTGATACTAAGGCCATAGTCCACGAGTTGTTGCTTTATCCAAAGGATTTGAGCACAACTACTACCGGCAGCAACGTATTCCGCTTCGGTTGTGGATAACGCAACACTGACTTGTTTCTTGCTAAACCATGATACTAAAGAACTACCAAGTAAGTGGCAAGTCCCACTCGTGCTTTTACGGTCCAACATGCAACCGGCAAAGTCTGAGTCAGAATAACCAACGAGATGACAAGAAGAGCCTTTTGGATACCACAGTCCGACGTTAACCGCGCAAACAAGGTATTTAATGATCCGTTTCACCACTGTTAAGTGCGATTCCTTCGGACACGATTGATACCTTGCGCAAAGGCATGCGCTAAACATGATATCCGGCCTACTAGCAGTAAGATAAAGAAGAGATCCGATCATACCTCGATACTTTTTTACTTCTACTTCCTTACCTTTTTCGTCTTTGTCAAGATGGCCGGATGTGCTCATCGGGGTCGCCATGGCTTTGGCGTTGTCCATTTCGAACCGTTTTAGGAGTTCTTTGCAGTACTTAGTTTGGCAAATGAATGTGACATCTCTCATTTGCTTCACTTGAAGTCCCAAAAAGAACGTGAGCTCACCCATCATTGACATTTCGAACTCGCTAGTCATTAACTTGGAGAATTCCTTATCAAGCGGATGACATGGTCGCTTCTTATGGCTACTGTGGTTGTTTCTTTTTCATTTTGAACTTTCTTTAGAAAATTTTTGAAAACATGAAATGCCTCACTTTTGTGAGTAAGAAACAAGGTCCATGTAAACCTAGAGCAGTCATCGACAATCACAAACACAAAGTAATTACCACCGAAACTTTTTGTTCTAGAAGGACCAAAGAGATCTATGTGCAAAAGTTGAAGCGGTCTAGACGTTGAAACAACGTTCTTAGACTTAAACGAAGCCCGAACTTTCTTCCCCTTTTGACATGCATCACATATGGTGTCTTTATCAAACTTAAGTTTTGTAATGCCAATTATTAAGTCTTGTGAAACCAATTTGTTCAAAAGGTTCATGTTCATATGGGCTACCCTTCGGTGCCATAACGAAGTGTCTTCCTCTTTACGCATGAGGCACTTAGCAAAGCCGGAAGGAGATTTTTCTAAGTTAACCATATATATGTTATCAATTCTATCACCACGTAGAATGACCTAATTGTCACTAAGGCGTTCTACCATGCATGATTTTGAATCGAAGGTCACACGGTTTCCCTTGTCACATAATTGACTTATGCTCAAGATTTGGTGTTTAAGACCCCTAACTAGCAAGACATTATTTATAGAGGAGTCATTGGATTTACCTACCAAACCAATGCCGATGATTTTTCCCTTGCTATTATCTCCGAAGACTACGTTTCCTCTTTTGGCAGGCTTTATTTGAAGAAACTTGGATGCATCTCCGGTCATGTGCTTGGAGCATCCGCTATCAAGGTATCAAAGTACACTTGATGCCTTCAAGCACACCTACGAAACACATCAATGAGTTTTAGGTACCCAATTCACGTTGGGTCCTCATGTGTTAGGTGTGTGATGGTAGTGTGCTTGATTTTATGATAGGTGCCTATGCCTAGTGAAACAAACGGGAGCAATATGACCTATCCTATTGCAATAATGGCAAACTACATTTGGATTGTACATATGCCTAGTTTCGTAGTAGTTAAGGGGTCTATCCATATTGTTTCTATTTTGTGAAAAAGATGGTCTTTGAAAATTTTGAAATTGATCTTTCCTAGGTGCTCTAACATTATTTCTTCTATTTTGAGAAAAATTATTTTTATGCGCAAAATCATTTTGATAATTTTTCGTAGGTTGTCTAACATGCACATTTTCATTCCTAGGTTTTTGTCTAGGTTGTCTAGTGTCCTTAGGTTGACTAGATTTTCTATTATCCTGTTTTTTAGTTTTCTTACGTTGAGCCTTAGGAGGTTGTCTAGGTGTTTGCTCAACCTTTTTATCCTTAGCTTCGTTTTTATTAAAGCCTAATCCTTCCTTAGAAAAATACATACATAGTGTCAAGGAGAAAATTAAGATCTTTGTGCGGAGCATTAAATTTCTTAACCGTACTCTCAAGTTTTGTAACTTTTTCTTTTAAAGCTTTGCAAGATTCACATTCATTTGAAGAGCTTTCCGGTTTGTCAGCGCTTCTTTTGCCATAAAATTTATTTTCTTGTTTTAACTTTTCATTATCTTTTTCCAGTTTTACTAAATCATTTTCAAGTGTTGAAATACGTTTCTTTAATGATTTGTTGGTTTTAGAAACGCCAACAAATTCATCGTAAAGCTCACGAAGTGCTTCTTGCATTTCTTCAAAAGTGTAAGAGTCGGAAGAAGTAGTACATACCTCTTGTATTTTGTCGGTGTGGTCCTCGTGTGCCATGAGACAGAGGTTGGCAGCTTCATCCTCTTCCTGGTCGGTTGACTCGTCACCGGAGTCGCCACCCCAAGAGATATACGCTCTTTGCTTTTTGAAGCCGGGTTTGTCCTTGCCATTTTTGCCTCTTGGACACCTCGGCTTGATGTGGCCTATCTCGCCACAACCATAGCACTTGGGGGGACCGTCGTGCCTCTTTCCTTTGCGCTCAAATTCCTTCTTCATGAACTTGTGGAATTTCTTGATGACGAGTCCAAACTCGTTGTCATCATCACTTGAAACTTCTTCCACCGTTTCCTTAGTTGCGTTGTGCGATATTCCTTTCTTCTTTGGTCATCCAAAGACGGGGTTAGATTAGTGGATTCATAAGTTTTGAGGTTACCTCTTAATCCGTCGATGGTGACGTTGGAGACTCCGATGGATTCGTAGATTGCGTCAGCCTATGATCTCCATTCGGGTGTGAGGCTCTGCAGGATTTTCCTTACGAGATCCTTGTTGGCATATGTCTTCTTGAGAGCATGAAGGTCATTGATGATTTTCGAGAACCGATCGAACATGTCATTGATCTTCTCGCCTTCCTTCATTCTGAACATCTCGTACTCCTGCGTGAGAAAGTCAATTTTGGCTTCCCGAACTTGGTTCGTACCATCGTATGTAACCTCGAGCTTGTCCTACATCTCTTTGGCGGTTGTGCAGCATGAGATCTTGCGATAGTCGTCGGGGTTGACCGCGCAGTAAAGCATGTTAATCGCCTTTGCGTAGTTCTCTACCTTTTTGATGTCTTCGGCATCAAATTTGTCCTCGGTCTTTGGGACGAGTTTCTCCCCAACCTTCTTCATTGGTGTTTCTTCTCCGTTCTTGATGACCAACCACAATTAAAAGTTGGTTGAGCGGATATAGATTCTCATCTGCTCTTTCCAATATGTGTAGTTAGTGCCATCGAAGAGCGGTGGCCTAGAGGTTGATTGACCTTCTCCAATCCCTGCATAAAGATTTCTAGAGGAAGAACCCATGATCGCTTTTCTCTCAAATGGTTAAGTTTGGATGCTAGTTAGGCTCTGATACTAATTCTTAGAATAAATGACCAACGCTAGAGGGGGGGTGAATAGCGTTTGATCGTAGAAATCGCAGGAATAAAAAATTCAAAGGAAAAGTAAAGAGAAGAGTAAGAGGCACACCAATTTTACCCTGGTTCACCCCAACTTGTGGCTAATCCAGCCTCCCGAGAGACTCTCTCGAGCTACACTACTTTCTCGTTAAGCTTAACGGTGCTTAACAAACCCTTACAACTTGAGAATTCAAGTTACACAAACCTCAACAAGTCCTTCGAAGGAAACAACCCTTCCTTCGAATCAAACAAGAGAAATACTTTCTCTCAACGTGTCTTGGAACACTAATACACTCAAGAACGAGACTCTCTTTAAGAGTAGATATTGAGTAAACTAAATACGCTCAAGAACAACTCAACCTTCACACAAATTGGCTCTAGAAAGCTATGAAAAATGATGTTGTTTAAATGCAATGATAATATGTGTATTGTGAAGTGAATTGATGTGTAAAGCAGACCCAAACATCCCTTTTTATAGTGCCAAAATAGGCTCTAAGGCATTAAAGGGGTGATTGGCATGATTTGTGGGATTGATATTAAAATATGGATCTGCAGGATATTGGCTTTCCCCAACGATGTATGGAACTACCCATCGCTGGTAAGCCAATTTTCCTTCAGTTTTAGAGGCAACGGTCACCTACCCATCGATGGGTAAACACTTTCCATCGTTGGGTGGGAGGTTGACTTTCAAACAAAGAAAGAATCAGCCTTAAATGACTCACAACGGTTATGCCTAACCAGCGATGGGTATGCCCTCCCATCGCTGGGTTCCCATCGATGGGTTAAAGTCCCCATCGATGGGTAGGTGCATTCTACCTTGTGTTTATATTGGACCAAGGCTTGCACAGCGATGGGTAGAACTTCCCATCGCTGTTTGGCATGGTTCTGGAATTCGGTTGGGCTGAAGGTCCGCTTACCCATCGATGTAACTCTTCCCATCGCTGGGTGGATGGTTAGTCAAAAACCCATGGTTTTTGCCTGAACCATGGCCTAGCCAACAGATGCTAAAACCGACCGAAAAATGCAAAGTTCTCTAAAATAAAAACCAAGTGTTTAAAACACTTATTTAATGTATTTGGATAAGAAAACAAGTGAGACACTTTAAAAACCACGCCATTTGAGTAAAAACCATGGCTAGCCAAGTTTATGCCGTTTCGCATGGTTTTTGCCAAACGACCAAAAACGAAAGGTGGTTTTTAAAGTGTTTTTGTTGGAAAACTATTTAAATGTGCCCAGAAGTAAAAACCAATCATAAAATTCTGAAAACCACTTGGTTGGTTTGGACGCCAAAAACCAACGCCGATAACCGAATGCCGAACGCCGGTTTCTGAAAACTGAATGCCGGTTTCTGAAAGTCGAACGCCGGATGGCTTGGTTTTTGGTTTGGTCGAGCACCAAGTGTTTTTAATGTGTTAAACATGTTTGAAAAACATTTTGATGATATGTAAAATGCAATAAAATCGTTTTAGCCTAAAGAGCCAAGGTGTGAGGTTTGGGTCGGTCTTGATCATATTTGTGACAGACTCAACAACACTAAAGCTACGGTCTTCGTTCTTGATCTCTTTTAGCTCTTGTTCTTATCTTCATTTCTCGCCTTGTATGTTCAACACTTTTTCTTGATCACAGCGGTTTGGCATTATCAAAACCTGTCATGAAAACGAACACGGCTTTAGTACGAAAACGTGATAAACCCGTGTTTCAACAACCAAGACACTAGTGCATGACCTATGAATTGACATGTGCCACTTGTGCTTTTCCGGTCAATGCGGCACCCTCCAAAGTCTGCATCACTAAAACCTATCAAGCTTAAATTCGTATTCTTGGGATACCATAAACTCATATTGGTTGTTCCCTTGGCATATCGAATTATTCGCTTGACAGCGTTTAGATGTGATTCTTTGGGTGATGATTGAAAACGTGCACAAAGGCAAACAGAAAACATTATATCTGGTCTAGATGCAGTCAAGTAAAGTAAACTACCAATCATACCTCGATATACCTTTTCACTTATGGGTTTTCCACTTTCGTCGCTATCAAGCTTCAAGGATGTGCTCATTGGAGTCGGGTATGTCTTTGAGTCTTCAAGGTTGAATTTCTTGACTAATTCTTTGGCATACTTGGTTTGGCTAATGAAGATGCCATCTTCAAGTTGCTTAATTTGAAGTCCAAGGAAGAAATTCAACTCACCCATCATGCTCATTTCAAATTCACTTGTCATAATTCTTGAAAATTCATTACATAAGGCTTCATTAGTTGACCCAAAATAATATCATCAACATAAATTTGCACAATGATAAGATCGTTTCCTTTTGTTTTGACAAAAAGTATGGAATAGATCTTTCCTTTTGCGAATCCATGAGAGATGAGATGTTGGGTAAGTTGCTCATACCAAGCTCTAGGAACTTGTTTGAGTCCATAAAGGGCCTTATGAAGTTTAAAAACGTAATTTGGAAAATCAGGATTTTCAAAGCCGGGAGGTTGTTCAACATAAACTTCTTCTTTCAACCACCCATTTAGAAAAACACTCATGCGAATAGATTCAAGCCTAGCAACCGGAGCAGAAGTTTCATCATAGTCAAGTCCTTCAACTTGGCTACAGCCCTTAGCAACAAGTCGACTTTTATTGGTGATAATAACACCATTTTCATCAAGCTTGTTTTTAAAGACCCATTTGGTGCCCACAACGGGTCGGTTTTCTGGTCTTTCGACTAGTTCCCAAACCTTGTTGCGTTCAAATTGCTCAAGCTCTAGTTGCATGGATATAATCCCATCACTATCTTTTAGTGCATCTTCTACGTTCTTAGGTTCAAATTGGCTACAAACGCATAGTGTGCACAAAGATTGTAATTGTTCCTAGTTCTAACTCCCTTTTCAATATTTCCAATGATATTGTTTCTTGGATGATTCTTCAAGTGCTTGCATGCCTTTGGAAATTATTTTTCTTCATTTTCTTCTTCTTGTGCTGGAATTTCTAGGGATTCTTCCTCCTCTTCTTCCTCATTAGAACCTGCAATTACCTTACTCGACCCGAAGGGATCGGTTTCATCAAATTTTACATGCATTGATTCTTCTACTTTATTATTTGATTTATTATATACCCTATAAGCTCTACTATTTGTTGAGTATTCAAGAAAGATTCCTTCATTTGATTTAGGCTCAAATTTGCCTAAATGATCCTTGGTATTCAATATATAGCATTTACAGCCAAAAACTTTGAAATAGGCAATGTTTGGTTTTTACCTTTCCAAAGTTCATAAGGGGTTTTTCTTATAATAGGTATAAGTAATACCCGATTTAGAACGTAGCATGTCATGTTGACCGCTTCTCCCCAAAAGTATTGAGGCACGTTGTGCTCATTTAGCATGGTCCTTGACATCTCTTGCAACGTCCTATTCTTCCTTTCAACAACTCCATTTTGTTGAGGTGTTCTTGGTGCCGAGAAGTTGTGAGATATACCGTGTTCATCACAATATGTTCCAAAGTTTGTATTTCGGTATTCTCCACCTCTATCACTCCTAATGGAAGTTATAGTGTGGCCTTTCTCGTTTTGAATTTTCTTGCAGAATTTAACAAATGCAATAAAAGCATCATCTTTATTGGCAAGTAATATAATCCAAGTGTAACAAGAAAAATAATCTATGACAAAAGTAAAACTAGCCCCACCCAAGCTTTGAACATCTAATGGCCCAAATAAATCCATATGCAATAATTCAAGTGGCCTTGATGTTAAAACTATTTTAATGGGTTTAAATGATGCTTTATGTTGTTTTCCGAGAGAGCAAGCATCACAAAAACGAGAAGGGGGTATGCTCATCTTTGGTAGCCCAACAACAAGTTCTTTTGAGTAATGTTTTCTCAAAAGATCATAACTAACATGTCCTATTCTACAATGTCATAATGTTAAAAATTCAAGCAAAGTAGTAAGACAAGTGATTTTTGAGTTGGTCAAGTCATTGGAATTGAACTTGTATAAGTTTCCATCTCTTTTAGCTTCAAAAATGATATCATCTTTATTTTGGCCATATAAAACGCAGGAATTTGCATTAAAAATTATGCCACATCTCTAATGATGTATCATTATTTAATTAGTCCATTTTTAATTATAATATTTTATTAATTAAAACCATTTTCGTTAGTGCTTCATTCAATAACCATTAATTTTGTATAAGACATTTTATTTTTAAATTAATATATCAATATATATTTCACCAGTTTAAAACATATGTAAAAAAAATTATATTTATAGTTTGTTAAAAGTTTAGAATATATGTGAGCTCATGCAAAGAAATTAACACTAGTTATTTATATAATATAATGATATGTATCTAGAAATATAGATATTGATAATATGGATGAGGAGAAAAAAAATGATATACCTCCGACCTTAGTTGAAAAAAATTCAATGACCAGTGGCGTTTGACTCCATTATTCAATGATCCAATCCTTATCTCCAATTTTCGCAAATCATTACTAAACCCTGAACAAATAACCAGGGATCAAGGTGAAATATATGCTTGATATGCAGTGTAATGTATTTATAGTTAACTTTTGTATAATATTTCTGTTTCTACGAGCATCACAAATATTATACGGAGTATATGCACATACATTGCGTCAATTTGTCGTAGATTGTTGCTGAACTGTTGTAGAAGATGTTCATCAGAAGATGTTTCGTTGGTAAAGATTTCCGGCATCAATTTCCACAGAACGATTTGTTTTGTTATATTTTTAGGTGGTGTAGGTGAGGGAGGGGGGGGGGGGGTATATATTCTGATGATGATGATGATTATGATTGTGAGAACGTGATCTGTTGACGACAAGGTTTTTATTTTCCCTGTGTGTGAAGGAGATCATGGCTAAGATTATTTGTCTCATAGCCCATATAGTTTAAGCAAGCTTAAGGGGAAACAACATCAATTTTTCTGAAGGCCTAGAGGGCAAATATGGAAGTATTAAATTACCTTTGATTATGTCTAGCTGAAAAAAGAATTTTATATTTCAGAAGGAAACTCTCATCGAAAGAGCTCTTTGTGTTTTCTAATCCTAGGAAAAACATTGCATTGTCCACAAAGAGAGATTTTGTATAATTATGTGTTGCTCTGCCAATTATATCTTCATTACCCATCACTCCTCTCAGTATCAGTCCACAAAGAGATGTCTTTTCTTTTGGCATAATCTTTTCTGGATTTCACTTGATCTCGTCGACTAATTTGTGGATTCTTGTAATGAAGGCAGAGGTTTCCTAGATGTTTACTTGATTCAGAATCTGCAGTGTATTTGAACCTTGGTGTTGATTGTCCATAGAAGTTGATTTTGAAATGGTGACACATTTTACATATATAGACTGGTGTGTAATATCAATGATTATGAAGGCAGGATAGGCATATTTTATTCAAGAGCATCTAGCTGTTGCAGACTATTATTGTCTGGATTCTACATTTCTCAGTAGTGGGCTGGAGCTGTGCAGGTTTTACTTACAACAATGCCAATTGGGTAATGCACGTGGCAGATGTTATTTCGTTGCAGTTTATTAAGGCAAGGCTTAGGAACGGAATTTGTGGAATAATATAGTGCAGACATGGGTTTGCCTCAAGTAGCTTGTGATAGTCATGCACCTGAAATTGCCTCACCTTTGAGCACATCTACACAAACACCTCCCAGATTTGTAGCTATAAGCAGCTGTGATATGAGTAGGATGAACAATGGTCAACTTAGCAGTCGAACTCCAACTGATTTTGCTTGCACTTCATCAAGGGAAATCTTAAATGATCCGGATGTTCTCTCTATTCCTAAAGATGGAATAATTAGCATGCATAACTTGAGGATTGATTCTGCTGAAAAGAATGGCTTCTTTACTCACAACGTTGGAAGGGAAATTCAAAATCCAGCTTCGAGGATTGTGGGTTTTGAGTCTACATCTGTGAGGCCAGTCAATTCGTATGGACCAAACCCATCAGATAGTATAAATCCTTCTGCTACAGTTTGCATCACAAACAAGATTCTGGAGACAAGTGGTTCAGCGGTTAGAAAACGATTATTTTCACCTTTGAATGACATGGTTCTTCCTGATCAATGTTTTGGTGAATCTCTAGATGTTGGCGGTGCCACTAGTTTAATGAAAACGGCCTATTTAGGCAATGATGCAGATATCATTGTCTTACAAGAACACAAGAAAGCAAATATGAGGATTTCAAAAAACTTTGAAGTTTTGTCCACACCGAATGCATTGGGAAGTTACAGCACTCCAGATGTAAATTGTAATTTGAACTCCACTATGTCTACTATTATGGATGGCTCCTTGTTCGATGATGAGAAGAGATTTTCTGGTGCTCTTTTTACCCCTACCTCCCCTATACTAAAGTTCCATGGAAAGATAACAAAAGTTTCTTCCCAAGATGGAGGGGTGGACATGCTGAATAAAAATTCATACTCCCCACCACTATCTCTCTCTCCTCTCGGACGTCATTGCTGTAAGAGAATAATAGATTCTAAATGGCATAGGCACAAGTGGGAGGAATATGATGTCAAACGGTCACTTGACAGGAGTCTATTAGATACCATGTCTTTTGAAAACGAAGAAGATTCCAGAATGGGAATGAAATTAGACTTAGATGTTGATGACTTTCCCATGAACTTTGAGCATTTCACAATTGATGGTATGAATACAATGAGAGAAAACGGGCGGAAAAATTCCATCCTTACAAGTCAGCATACCAGGTTAGGTAGAGCACTAAGTGGACTCAGTGTCAGAAGGTCATTAGTTGGTTCGTTTGAGGAGTCTCTTTTCTCTGGTCGTTTAGCACCACAGAATGTTAGCCAGGTTGGTTTTCTGATATTCTAAATTAAACTCTGGTGCTTAGTTTTTAAGTTTCTAATCAGATTTTTTTGTTTTTGTTTTTAATTGATAACAAACTACTAATAGTCAAGGTACTTAAATTTTTTATTAAAACTACTTTCATTCTGCAGAAAATTGAAGGCTTTCTTGCTGTTCTTAGTATCGCCGGAGGAAATTTCTCTCCACATCCAAAGAAGCTTCCATTTTCAGTAACAAGTGTGGATGGCGGAAAGTATTTGGTATATTACTCATCCATACATATTGGAGGACATTTATCAACTACTGAGTCTAAAGTCTCTAAAATGAAGAGAAGCCTTAGCATTAATGACTCTCGGACTAACAATGGTCGCCTTCGAATACCTATGAAAGGGCGTATCCAACTGGTACGCTCTTGTTCATCCTTCCTGAAGTACCTAATATTAGAAATTAAAATAGGATATTCTTTAATAAGAATAATAAACTAATGGGAAGAATTCTAAATTAGAGAAGCTGTATGTTGACACAGTTAGATGCAAAACCGTGGAAATAAAATAAAAGATACTATGTAAAATTGTGAACTACTACGTAGTTTGTAGGGGTGAGTTTGAAAAACCAAAAATCGAATTGAAATCGATTGAATTGTGCCAAATAATAGACAAACCTGAAAAAATCAAAACTGAAAGTAAAATATTGAACCCAACCATTTCTATTCGGTTTTGGTTTCGGTTTAAGTATTTAGAAACCAAACCAAACTTTCAAAAACTGAGTCCTTCTAATTAGAAATCTATTACTCCGTAACTATTATAGCATCTCCAACCATGCTTGCTATATGCACTTGCTATTTTTACATTATAGCAAGTAAAAAGTGATATAGCAAGCACCTTTTTGTTCCATTCTCCAACCATAGCTTGCTATTTCATTTTTTAACTATTGGCTTGCTATAATTTGAGGAGCTTGTTATATCTAGCAAGCCAAAGTCATTTTTTTGGAAGCTTCCTAAAATATAACACACCTTTTGGAGAAGAATAAAAGGGTTTGGCTTGCTATATTATTGCTTCTAGCAAGCCAAAAGGGTCCGGATGCTGCGACGCAAACTGTTACATTACTATTCTGACACATTCTTTAAATTTACTCTCCTTGATTTTATAAATTTAATGTCATTGAGTTGAAATTGTTAGTAAAAGATGGGCAATGAGTGAAGGCACAAACTTTAAATTTACTCTCCTTGATTTTCAATTCAATTTAATTGATTATAGGAGTAAGATTTGAAAATAAAATTTATATAGTAATAAACTACATGAAAAGTTCTACAAAACTAGAGGTGACAAGACTATATTATTTTACAAAATGACTAATAAAAATGAGTAAACAAAGTGAGTAAAGTTTGACCCTGTGAATAGTGTCTAGGAAGATATATGGTGGACAGAGGGAGTACTTCATATAATGTACTTTTAAAACGTAGGGAGTATTGTTTTTGAAAATTGCAAAAAATCCAAAAAAAACCCAAAGTCGAACCGCATAAAACCAACCGAACAACCAATGGTTTGTATATTCATTGTGCAAAAGTAAACCAAACCACAAATTTGTCTCGATCTGGTCTTTAATTTTGGGTAAAAACCGAACCCTCCCCTACTAGTTTGGTAGTATTTCCAAATAGGGAATCAGAACTATTTTGCTTCTTTTTGTATGTAAGTAGGACTGGCTGGTGGACCTTGATAAGTTTTCAGATGAATGCTGTCTGATTTTGTACAGCTGTCTGATTTGTAGAGCTAATTATATACCCTATCTATAGGCTATTCCTTGTACATTAGATATACAGTATGAGTAGAATGTCGATTTAAGGTGATTTCTCCACCTGGTATTAGAGCAGTAGAGCACCATTATTCTGAGATCTTCATTTCCACACCTGGTATTAGAGCACCATTATTCCGTGATCTTCATTTCCACTCTTTATCTTCATTGTCTTCCACTGATATGGCCACTGATCCAATCTCCAATCCAACTTCTTTGATTTCTGAGGCTTCTAAATCATTAGCTAATCCTGTTTGGCTGTTTCCTTCCCATGTGAAGACACTTTTACTGCCATTCACAAGCTGACGTCAATCAATGGTCTCCATGCTGTGACCTTTAATCTCCAAGGTCGTGGCCTTCTGAGCTTTCTAACAGGAAAAGTCTCTGCTCCAGCCTATACCTGTTCGTCCTTTGCAAGGCAAGCAAAATCTCTGATGCAGCTATCATTGCTTGGCTTATCAATTCCATGGAGGTGGAAATAGGTTGAGCCTATTTATTCCTCTCAAGTGTTAATGAATTTTTCTTAAAGCCGTGAAAGAAACTTTCTCTGATGTTGAGAACCCAGTTGAACAGTTTGAAACCTACTCGAAGCTTATGGACCACATGTAGGAAGCCCTTTTATGTAACTCAATTTATGTAATATAATAGTGTTTTATGGATCCCATTGCTGGAATCCAGTACCCCAGGTGGAAGAAGAACGGCGAGCCAGGTTGCTAGCTTGTGGAGTGTGACATGCTCGTTTTTTAGGTTATTTATTAATTAATTATTTTATTATGTACTTAGAGCTTGTTCTCTTCAACTTATTCTTTTTACTTTTTACTTATTCTTATTTGAATCATATCGGATTAGAAACAACTTTAAAAATAACTTCAATCATATCAGAACTTAATTGAATCAGATCAAAACCAATCGAATAAGTTGAAGAGAACAATCCCTAAGTTTAGATGCTATTTTTGTGACAACCTCGCTACTTCCGGGTGGGGGTAAGGTCTGTGTACACACACCCTCCCCAGACTCTACTTCGGTGGGACATTACTGGGCTTTTTGTTGTTTTTGTTTTTGTTGTTGTTGTTGTTGTTGTACTTTAGATGTTATTTAATTAATGGCTTTTAATGAATTATTACTCTCCATTCTGTATTTGGTAACCAAATTGTATTAAGATTATTGCGTTTTTTTGCGTATTTATTGTTGGACTCAAGTGTTGTAGGTGTCTAATCAAAATGATAAAAGGGGATTAAGATAAAGTATATTGGGATTAATGAGGGTAAGCTCGGTTTGAAACTTTGAATATGAGATATTACACACTCAATTCTACTTAAGGTTGACTCTAGGATTTAATTAAGAATCACTTAAAATTAAATTACTAGAACCTGACATTCACACTCAAGAAGAACCATTTCTAAATATATAGAAATTAGGACTTTGTTTGAAAGAATGAATTTATAAGAACTGCATAGAAAGTCAAACCTTAACTTTTCATAAACTTTGATCTTCATGTTTTACAATTCATATACGGCACAACATTTAGACAAGAGGAAAAGCAAATCAAGATGGATTGGAAATTGACTACCAATATGGCTATACACATATATAATAAATCCACCTAATCAAACAAAGAAGTATAATACAAGAATATGTGAATGCAAACAAGTACTATACTACTATGTCCCACACGTCTTATTTGGTTTATTTAGGTAGGAGATATAAGGTATTTTATGGTGTGCTTTTCATGATTGAGTTTTGAGGTGTATAACCTAGAAGGATATTATTTGTTGTATAGGATCTATGGTATCATGATCCAATATACAACGGATTGCCCTTCTGCAATAAAATTTGTCCTCAATTTTTTCCATTATCATGGAAACCGAGACGGTGGTAGTCAATGATAAACTCCCTCGTAAATGGTAAGTATATTGACTCACTGACCATAGGATTCTCTTGGAATACCATTACCAAATTACCACAAACAATTCTTGATTAATTGATTTGGATATGCCTTCCGAGTGTTATAAGGATGATAGGAGCATTCCTCGGATTTTTTTCCTGATATTTTACATAATAAGATTCATAATAAAATAATGCATTCCCACTATTGAATTTGATGTCTTGAGCCTCTTGACAGATTTATAAAAGATTCCCTAGTCATTTGCTTCTTCATAGATATACTAGCCTCTTATATGATCACTTTCATAAACAAGAAACAAACTATGATCACTTTCAGTAGGAACTAAAAAGTGATCACATATTTCGTCACCCTCTTAATTATCCATCTTGATTTCACATTCAATCTTTGTGTCTTGCGTTACTTGAAAATAGATTTTCAGAAAGATGCTCTTGCATTTCTTGCATCGTTGGGCCTCGAGGGAAGCATCAAGACTTGGGAAATTCGTCAAACCTACCCTTTGATACCAAATGTTGTAGGTGAGGTTGGGGTCACAGAATTAAGGAGCAATTTTTTTGGATTGTTGGATACTGAGGATGTTCAAAGTTTGACTATGAAATAGTACACACTCATTTTCACATGGTGACATAGGGTTACAGTTGGATTTTTTAAAGAATCAATCCTAATTAATTTACCAGATTTAACACTCACACTCAAGAAGAATCACTTATTAAGATATAAAAATAGGACTTTGTGTTGAAAGAAACACTCTTTATAGAAATTTTTCACTTTTTGTGAACTTCAATCTTGATGTTTAGTAGCTCATGTGCAACACAACATTCATACACAATGAGAAGCCAATCAAGATGGCTTGGAATAGGAATATGGTTTTTGGCAATACACACCCATAGCATATTAGGAAATAAAAAGCAAATACGAACCACCTAATCAAATAAAGAAAGATTATACAAATACATGTGATTGTGTGAATGCAAATTAGTACCGTTTCCCACCTTTCTTATTCAAGTATCTTTTTTGAAAATATCTTCTGTCCAAGTCTTCAACAAGTTCAACCAAGGCTTAGGCAAAAAGAGGAGTACGAATTCAAAAATCAGATGTCTTGACATTGATGAATAGTATTTGGCTTATTTAGGTAGGACATATAAGGCATTTTATCGTGTGTTTGTCATGATTCAAGGGTATAAGTGCGTGGACGATAGCTCACAGTTGTAAGCCCTAGTTCATCATTGAGGCCTAGGAAAATGAAGACAACAAGGAAAACCTCCGTGATCTCGAACTCTCCCTGGAGGCTATAGCCCATGTTAATCCCTCTTCAATAATGCAAGCCCAGGTGAAGGAAAGCGCTTTTGGTGGATTCGGGCAGCATGCAAAAAATCCTATGAGAAGACCTGGCAGAGTAGCAGACTCGCCAGGAGTAATGCAGGAACAAATGATGGTTTTTACACTATCCTGTTGGATGGATTTGACATCATCAGTTGGTTGGCCATCTTGGGACCCATCACCTCGAACTTCTCTACAGTCTACACTTACTATGGAATTTACCACCTGACTCCTATTACAGCCCCACCTGGGTCTACACGGCACCATTACCAGTGCTCTGCTTAAGTTTTACGGCCTGTTTGAACCCAAGGGACTGTTGCAATGACGAGAGTGCGGTCACTGTATCACTTTGAAACCAGGCACTGGCAGTCCAACCTTAGAAGTACCCACACTTTGAGAAAGATGAGTTTGAAGCTCAGTGCACACAAATGCTGGAATAGGGGGGGGGGTCATCTGACCAAGTCGATCCCTGTTTTTGTTACCAATTCTTCCCGTCAAAAAACCGGATGGAACAAGGCCATTTTGTGCTGGTTACCATGCCCTAAATGAGGTTACCTTCATACCTTGAGGTTACCTTCATTTTGAATTCCTAGCAATGCGATTCAGACTCATCAACGGCCCATCAACCTTCAAGAGCCTGATAAACTCCATATTTTGCCCGCGCAAGTTCAATCTCTTGTATTTTAAATATATATTAATCTACAGCAGTTTATGGGAGTGATGGGACACTCACTTGCATCACATGCAGCTCGTGTTTAATATATTGTGTGTTCACTGACTCGCTTGCATAAAATGTAGCTCGCCTTTTAATATATGAAGAAGTCCAAGTGTGTGTTCACCAATGGACAATAGCAAGATTCAGGCGGTAGTGAAATGGCCTCAGTCGTGAACCCCACGAGCCCTTCGGAAATTCCTCAGCCTAGCTACTATTACCGGAGGTTCATCCAAAATTATGAGAACATTGCAGCTCCTCTCAAGGCCCTACTCCAAGGGAATTTATTTGGATGGAACTAGGATGCCCAAGCCCTCTTAGATGAATTAAAAGAGCGCCTCTCAACCTCGTCACTCACCCAAATTCTGCCCTACTCCAAAAATATTGTGGTAGACTGCAATGCCTCGGGAGCTAGAATAGGGATAGTCTTGCACACCGGGTGACATTATTTAGCTGCAATATGGTTTCATGCCACACGGAGCGCGCCACCTACGAATGATAGTTATTTGGCCTTGCAAAAGCCATCGCCCATTGGAGGCCCAGTTCACATTTCACACAAAGCACTCCAGTTTGAAGTATCTTCTGGAACAGCGCCTCTCCAACAACAATGGTTAAGCAAATTGATGGGGTATGCCTTCCATGTAGAGTACAAACCAGATCGGCTTAATAAAGCGGAAATGCACTATCTAGGCATGAGGGGGGCCTTACGAAGAGGTTTAAGAGTGTGTGGCCATATCGTTGCCCTTTTCGGACCTCTTGTCGACCGTATACACTGATGCGGAGTGGATAACACTATAGCTTAAGGTTGGGCTTACAAGTTTCGCTACCTTGGCTCGATCATTCAGGAGGGTGGGGAATTAGACGGAGATGTGGTGCATCCTGTTGGAGCAGCTTGGGCTAAGTGGAGGTTGGCTTCAGGGGTGTTGTGCGAAAAGAAGATTTCTTCCAAGATGAAAGGTAAGTTCTACCGGTCTGTTGTCATACCAACTATGCTCTATGGGGCGGAGTATTGGACGGTTAAGAAGATTCACGTGCGTCGTCTGCATGCAACGATATTGTGGTGGATGTGAGGGTAGACTAAGCTAGATAGGATTTGGAACGAGGTTATTCGAGGTCGGCTAGGCATGACGCCATCGGAAGATAAGCTCCGGGAAGCTAGGTTGAGGTGGTTCGGTCATGTGAGATGACGGAATGCCGACGCTCTAGTGCGGAGATGCGAGAGGCTTACGTTGGTAGGGGGAAGTAGGGGAAGGGGTAGACCTAAGAAGAGTTGGAAGAAGGTGGTTAGACAAGACTTAAGACTTCTTCACCTTAGTGAGGATATGGCCTTAGATAGGAGCATTTGGAGGGATAGGATTATAGTAGTTGGGTAGGTGTCTTGTGATAGGAGGTGTTGTTGTTGTGGGCTTGATATGCCTTTTTATGCTTAGTGCTTTTTGCTATTTGCTTGCAATACTTTGGCTTCGTAATTTTAGTTTGTTTTCTAGGTGTTGGGTGCTTTATCTGTGTGGTATATGTGCTCTCTTTGTTGCGTCCATATGTTGTGAGCCTTCTTTTTGTGCAGCTTGAGCCAGGGGTCTCTTGGAAACAGCCTCTCTACTTTCGGGTAGGGGCAAGGTCTGCGTACACACGCCCTCCACAGACCCTACTTTCGTGGGATCCAATTGGGTTGTCGTTAATATTTTAATCTTTTGATTGCCTTGTATCTGATCTAAACATTTTCGGTGTTTCACGACATTCAATTGATAATTTTCTTAATTTGTAATGATTTTTCCTTGACATTGTGGCAATGATGATGCTTACAATGATAACTGAAATATTTCACAGGTTCTCAGCAACCCAGAAAGGACTCCCATTCATACATTTTTCTGTAACTACGATTTAACTGAAATGCCAGCAGGAACCAAGGTAAGTTTAAAATGTATTCAAGATTGGTGCTGACCCTACACAATGCATATATTTGATCTTCCCTAGTTTCATTTCTCTTCTTTCTGCATGTGACTTGTTCAAGATGTTTACATTGTTAGTGGAGTTCCAGCAAATGTTGTTAAGAAAATATTGCACATATCATCCAACACATTCAAACATTACATGGAATCATGATAAATCTTAATAAGTGGATATATCCACTGTCAACATGAAGTGGAATAGATGAATGATTCGATAGCGTCATGAAGTAATGACTAGGTTGACAATACTTTTTGGCAATAAATTTTGAGTGATTGAGAAATAAGCTATCTACATGATGCATCTTGTAGTAATATGAGAGGGGAGCAAGAGGAAAATTAGGGAGGTACACTTGTTGAGGAAAATATATGAGGGGTTCTGTTAGGTTGATTTAGAAACATCTAATTTTAAGCCATGGGGCTTCATATATGAAGTGCTATCTTGTAGTAATATGAGAAGGGAGCAATAGGCTTAATGAAACATAGATGGGTATAAGTTGCAGATACAGGTATGCCGTATGCAAACTCAAGGTTTCATGATGGACTACTTACATGGAAACCAATTTTGTAACTAACTTAATCTAGATTAAGAATATTTCCCCAATGCGCTAATACTTTTGCACTGCAAGGTGTGATAAGTATTTAGGACGCGATCATTTTGAAGTCCAAATTGGATGAGCTTGGGTATATATAAGTAAGGCATCATTCCGTTCAACTTATTTTTTCTGCTTATTACTTATTCTTATTATAATCAGATCAGACCAAATCAGATCAGAAACAACTTTAATTATAACTGCAATCAGATCAAGCCAGATCAGATCAGACCAGATCTTTAAAAAATCAGATCAAATCAGGCAAACGGAACGTAGCCTAAGCCAATTCAAGTTTGCTAAACGTACAAAGTAGTTTAAGTTGTAAGAATGTTGCACATACATTGAGGAAAAATATGCCATTATGCATATAAGTTGAATACACCACCAGCAACAACAACAAGAAAGCCTTATCCCAGGTAACTTGTGTTGGCTACACGTACCAAGAGGAGAATCACATTTGGTTGTTTACAAAAACACTCTCTCCATTTCTTTCTATCCATGTGAGCTAAATGGTGCCAAATATTTCTTACTGTTTTTGAATCATTGTTGCACATGCAGCCTTTGAAGCCCATAATGTGTGGCTTTTGATCTGTTATCACTTTAAATACCTGGATGCCACATGTCTTTTTTTCCTTGGGCTCTATTTTGTTTTGATTATACAACTTTCCATAAGTTTGCGAATTTGTGTCAACTAACAAGTAGCCTCTCTTGGTGAATACTATTTATCCATAGACATTTCTGCGGCAAAAGATAACTTTGGGCATAGACAACTATAAGGATGCTAAGGGGAAAAGTGATGCAAGACAACCTACACATACAAATGTTGAGAATTCTTTTCAGTCTAGTGATGTAATTTCTGATTGTACAAAATCAAATCAGTGTAGCAGTATTGTCGTGGATGGCATTGGTTGGCCTTTTGCTGGCACTGGAAGCACTTCTGCAACGTGTTTTCCAAAAGTATCTGATAATGCTACTGGTTCTGGTGTCCTGCGGTATGCTCTCCATATCCGGTTCCTGTGCCCTTACTTGAAGAAAAGCTCTAAAACATTTCAAAGGTGCAAATCTGACCCTTCATATGTACCCACGAAAAGCCAAACAGATATTGAAGGAGGGCGACGTTTCTACTTGTACAATGACATGAAAGTTGTGTTTCCTCAACGTCATTCAGATGCTGATGAAGGAAAGGTATGTATCTTGACTTTCTGAGTTGCATTGTCTATAAATCCTCTATTTGAAGCACCCTTCCCCCTTTTTGAGTTTGTTGCTCCTATCCTCTTCACATCATGATTTTTGATAGCGTATGAAGCGTTCTGCCTTGAGGTGGCTTTAAGCCTCAAAGGCTTCAGGCTTCAACCTCATGTTGGTATTTTGAGGCTTATGCCCTAGGTGGATGAGGCATATTAGGTGCAGGGCTTAAGTCATACATAGTAGTTATTAAAGGCGAGAGGTAGGCGAGGTGGCCTTTTTGTGGCGAAAGGCGGGTGGTCAAAAGGCAAACATGTGTGAATAACTGAATACACACACACACACACACAAAGACAGTCAGACACACATACATTTACTACAACAACCAGTTTGATCCCACGAGAGTAGTGTCTGGGGAGGGTGTGTGTACGCAGACCTTGCCCCTATATATATGTATATACACACACGCGCGCACACACACACACGGCGCACACACACACACGGTATAGATAAAATATACAGAGTTGGATTGGACTTTTGTAATTGAATATATTGAATATGAACTAGCTCTAAAGTTTTGATTAATAATTGAATATATTGTATGTGAACTAAATTTTTAAGTTTGATTTGTAATAACGATTCGAAAAAAAATCAGATTTGGAATACAGAAAAAAAATGTAAACAAATAAATTTGAACAAACTGAAATTTAAACAAGAAATCAAAACTGAAAACCCTAAAAAACTAAACTAATTGAAGACCAGATGCGTGGAAGCTTGTAGCAAATGGGTTAGGGTTTTCTTTTTTAGATTTAAATGAAATATGGGCCGGGTGGGGTCGGCATAGCAGTGAAGACGATAACAGCAAAGCAATTAAGACGAAGCCCTGAAGCAGAAGAGGCGATCGCCCCAAGCCAGGTGCTCCGTGATAACTCAATGCAGGAAGATCATATAATGAGAATTGATCTTCGAGGATGAACTATGGTGACCTCTCGGTTGTAACGCGAGAGGAGTTTTGTACAGGAGAGAAAGAGAGAAAGATGAGGGTAAAGGTTCTTGATTATTCCGAAAGTGATTATTACAAGACAGTAGGTGGTTATTTAAGAGGTTAGAATCTAACTAACTCATCTAACCACTTAACTTCTCCTAACAAATGGTGACACGTCACCCACCTATATGGCTATATCATTCCTTGCCCCTTAAAGAAAAGACTTCTCCCTCCCAAAAGAACTTTTACACGTATAGACTAAGCACACTTTTATACATAAAAAAAATTCAGGGAATTTTTGTTGAATCTCCTTAGCATCCTTCCATGAGGCATCCTCTGCTAGTTGGCCCTCCCACTGCACCAAGTACTGCACTGCTGCTCCATTGCCTTTTTTGACCAGTCTCCTTTCTAGACTCTAGTATGGCAGTAGGCCTGAGAGGCACAGCTACATTCCTTCCTTGCAACCATTCTGGGATATGAGGTTGCTTAGGAAGAAGTCCCTTGAATGCTTTGAGCTGAGAAACATGATAGGTATGATGAACCTGAGCTGATTGTAGTAACTTCAACTTATAAGCCACCTTTCCCACCTTGGTCAAAATCTGAAATGGTCCATAACATTTTGGAGCCAACTTCTGATTATTTCTTCCTTGCACAGTTTGTTGTCTGTATGGCTGCAGTTTAAGCAATACCCAATCTCCCACTTCCAGTTGTCTTTCAGATCTGTGCTTATCAGCCTGCATCTTCATTCGATTTTGAGCTTGAAGTAACTGAAATCTTATAATTTGGATCATTGCTTCCCTCCTTTGAAGGGATCTGTCCACAGCATCCACTTTGTTTTCACCTGGGAGATAAGGTAAATGAATTGGAGGTGGTTGGTTGTAAACCACTTCGTAGGGTGTCATCTGTAGAGAGGAATGAAAGGAAGTATTGAACCACCATTCTGCCAAGGGAATCCAGTTGCTCCATTCCTTTGGTTCATCACTACACATGCATCTTAAGTAGGCTTCCACACATCTGTTGACCTCAGTTTGGCCATCTGTTTGAGGATATGATAAGAGGTTGACAGTAGTAGTTCTGTGCCTTGGACAGTCATCAGGGCCTTCCAGAAATCACTTAAAAATATTTTGTCTCTGTCACTCACAATGGTTTGAGGCCATCCATGTAACTTGAACACATTATCCAAATATACTTGGGCTACTTCAGCTGCAGAAAAGGGGTGTTTTAAGGTCATGAGATGCACATATTTGCTGAACCTGTTAACCACCTCAAAGATTGACTTCTTTTCCTCCAGATTTGGGTATGCCTTCTCTAAAATCCATAGATATATCCCTCCAAACATCATTAGGTACTTGTAAGGGCTGTAACAGCCCCGGATAAGTGCTAGTATCATACTTACAGCTTTGACAAACCGTGCATTGTCTGATATAATGCTGAACATCTTTATTCAAACCTTTCCAGGTAAAGAGTTCTTTTGTTTTTTTTATAGTGGCATCTCTACCTGAATGTCCTCCTGTAGGCAAGTCATGTACCCATTTAAGTATCTGCAATCTTAATTCAGAGTTTGGTCTTATGACCAATCTTCCCTTCTTTCTTAAGAGATATCCTTGCAAACTGTAGTTGTTTACTTGCTTCCCTTGATGTAATTGAGCTATGATAGCCATTAAGTGGTCATCCAGCTGGTAACTCTCCTTAATAACCTCTAACACATCAGATTGTATCCCTGATATAGCCATGGCTAGCAACTCTGACCCTTTGACTCTAGATAGAGCATCTGCCACAGTATTTTCTTTCCCACTCCTGTATTGTATCTCATATTGGAACCCCATGAGCTTGGATAGCCAAAATTTCTGAAAAGGAGTTGACACCTTCTGCTCTAATAACCACTTCAAACTTTTTTGATCTGTAAGGATGATAAAAGGCTTACTGCTTAGATATTGTTCCCATTTTTGTACTGCATGGACTATAGCTAGCAGCTCCTTTTCATAAACAGATAATTGTTTCCATTTAGGTCCGAGTGTTTTACTTAGGAAGGCCAAAGGATGGTGCTCTTGCATAAGGACAACTCCAATCCCATGAAGGGAAACATCAGTTTCCACTATGAATGTTTTAGTGAAATCTGGCAGTCCCAAAACTGGAGCAATAGTGAGAGCAGACTTCAACCTTTCCAATGCTTGAGTGGCTTCTGAACTCCAATGAAAACTTCCCTTCTTCAACAGTTGGGTTAAGGGCTTAGCAATGAGGGCATAATTCTTCACAAATTTCCTGTAATACCCTGGTAATCCCAAAAAACTCCCTAACTCTTTAAGATTGGTAGGATTAGGCCAATCTTCTATTGTTTTAATCTTTCTGGGATCAGTTTCTATTCCTTCTCTAGATACGAAGTGCCATAAGTATTCAACCTTATCAGTACCAAACTCACACTTAGATAGTTTAGCCTTCAAGGTGTCGTTCTTCCTAATCTCAAAAACCTGCTGCAAATGGGTTCTGTGAACCTCCATTGAACTGCTGTAGACCAGGATATCATCAAAGAAAATCAAAACAAATTTTCTTAGAAAAGGTCTGAATACTTGATTCATCAAGCTCTGAAAAGTGGCTGGCGCATTAGTAAGTCCAAATGGCATGACCAAAAACTCATAATGTCCAGAATGTGTTTTAAATGCAGTCTTATAGATACCTCCTTCAGCCATCCTAATTTGGTGGTATCCAGATCTGAGATCAATTTTGCTGAACACTTAAGCTCCTGCCAATTCATCCATAAGTTCATCCACCAAAGTAATAGGAAGCTTATCTTTGATGGTTTGCTTGTTTAGTTCTCTATAGTCCACGCAAAGCCTTCATGACCCATCTTTCTTTCCCACCAACACTACATGAAAGGCAAAAGGGCTACAACTGTGTTGAATGATGCCTTTCTCTAACATCTCATTGATTAGACCTTCAATCACATCTTTTTGTTTTAAAGCGTACCTGTAAGGTCTAATGCTTATTAGTATTGATTCAGATTTCAGAGGAATCCTGTGGTCAAAAATATCTTTGGTAGGTGGTAGACCCTTTGGTTCTTGAAATAACTCCTCAAACTGTTTCAATAACCCACTTATCTTTGGCTCAGTTACTTTAGTGGTTGTAGATCCACACTGCCAATCATCATCCTCCCACCTTTGATTTTGTTGTTTCCTTGTTGGTGCGGCTTGTAGCATACAGAAATGGCAGGCTTCAGTTAAGGCTTTAGGTAGTTGAGACCCTTCCAGAATTTTTACCTTTGGACCCTGCAATCCTCTTAGTACATGACCCTTCCCTTTAAATTGAAATTCCATTTGCAAGTCCTTGAAATTCCATTTAATGGTTCCTATTGTGCTCAACCATTGGACTCCCAAAACTATGTCACAACTACCCAGAGGGATGAGGATTACATCAGTAAAAAAATCAGTACCTTGCAGCCTCCATTTAACATATCTGCACACATATTGACAGCTCAATGTACTTCCATTTGCTACTGTCACTGGTTGTGAGGATATAGCCTCTAGCCTGCAACCCAACTTCCTAGCCAAATTAATATCCAAAAAATTATGTGTGCTTCCCAAATCTATTAGTATCTGAATAGATTTCTTCCCAAAATGTCCAGTGACCTTCATGGTTTGATAACCCGCAATGCCATTAACAGCATGGAAGGATATACAAGGTTCTGTTTCAAGGACCTCAAACCCCAAGCTATCCTCTGGTATTTCTTCCTCTTCCCATTTGCTTTCTAATGCTTCATCACCAGGTATTGTTAGGAATCAGAGATCAGCGGAAGGGAACAAACACACACACACAAATAGCAGAAAATAAGAACACGAGATTTAACGTGGTTCGGTCAGTAACCTACTCCACGGGTTGCAACTAGGGTTTATCTTTTATTAGGTGCTCACAGATTATAGTTACATGATTGGGTTTTTATAAGATATAAACTAGGGTTAACAACTTTCTAAACAAGAAACAACTAATGGGCCTTTTAATTAATAACTAAAACCGGCCCCCCATATTTCTTCCCTTTAACCGACCGGGCTTAAAGCCCAAAGCTCTAAAGCCTTCACTGAATAACCCAACAATCTCCCACTTGAAGGATTTCGCATAGACACAAATGCCATCCAAGTAAACCCATCATGAGTAACTCAGTAATCTTCACTGTCAAGTCCTCCAAGCCTCCAGTTCCCAAGAACAAGCTGAGACTCCAGTTATATCCCCTAGTTGCAACCACCCCCTTCATTAATAACCTGAAAGGACAGTTGAAGCTCCACCGAGCTCCAACCCAGTCGTGACTGTATCCGCCACAGCCTCTGTCTCAACCGGCTTGCACAATCCACCGGATCCAGAGATACACCGAGGACCATTACCACTCTCCAAATCCAGCAAACTATTCCCAGGAGAGATTTTAACGTTCGGATTCTTGGTCCTCAAAACCCAACGACGTTTCAGAACTGTACTCGGAACACGTCC